GGAAAAGGCAAACAATTAGCAGACATGCTAGCACAATAATTGTGTCTGAATAACCAAAGGTATAGTTGTGCTATAATGCAAACGAGGCTCGGCTGCTATCACTGAGGGCAGAAATAAAACGCACTCTAGCCTAATATTAAAACGCATATTAGGAGGTCAAAAGGTTTGGGGATAAGTTAACTAATATGTCCTCCAAATTTTTAGCTACTTGTAAATCCTCTTTCTGCTTTAATCAAAACGAAGATTATTCTGAGTGCTCAGAAAATCAATCTAGATTTCCAATCCAGTGCTATAAGCCAACTGAAAGAACCTTGTTAGTATGGCCTTAGAACTAAGAAATCTGCTATTGACTGGATTTTCACAGTGCTTCAAATCCCGGTTAAAACTTTTGGCAAGAAAAACAATGTATCTACACAACTTTTTCGTCGGAGTTAGAGCTATGAAGAGAAGCAACCTCTACAAGGCCGTGTCTAGTTTTGGAATCCATGGTACGGCAATGTAGAGTGGCGTTGAGCACAGCCTTTAGCTTCATCTAAACTTTTGTGGTACCACTTCAAGTTGTTAGAGAAAAAATCAGGTTTTAAACAAGACGACTCGGTGCGCAATCATCGGGGACCTTGGCAGCTGACACCATCTATCATATGGGATTTAAATCAACAGCAAATTTGATATGTTCCTACACATTTCTAGGGCACGTTGCGTGCCCGCTGTAGATAACCGCCCTCTTACCTCAATCTGATGTTGACTAGCGTTATTCAAGGTGACGCAAATCACAGAATTTTGTTTGTGATTAATTTGTTTACTAAATCACAAAAATGATTTTGAGTGATGGAAATCTTTATTTGGACTTTTCCAATTTTTTCTGTTAAGTGGAAAAGATGATATCCGTTCGCTTTCCTATCGAATATTCTACTTAAAGGCTGCGATTGTCTGAGGCTTGTTGGCATAAACCTGCGACTTCAAGTAGCCCCAAAGAAAAAAGTGCGGGATAGTTAAATCGGTCGACTTTGCTGGCCATGCCAAACCACCGAAACGGGAGATTACACGACCAAGAAATGTTTCCTTCACAATATTCATTGAGGCCCGTGCTGTGTGTCGTTTGCACCGTCTTGTGGAAACCACATGTTCACCAGGCCCCACTCATTCAATTTCGGCAGTACGAAGTCGTTTGTCATAGCTCTGTAGTGTAGTGTTTCAGGTGACTATATGTGTATCTTGCCTTATAAGTTCACGCGAAGCAGCGATATTTTCTGGCACACTAGCTGATTTTGGACGACGTTCGCGAGGTTCGTCGGCGGGCAAACTAAAACCCCGATTGAACTCGATAACCCAGCTTCAAACAGTGGACTTTAATTTTTTCAATGAGACGTAATCTTCATGTACCTGCACTGTAAACAATGCAAGTAGCATCCGAACGACAACACGTATCAGTAAAATAATCTGCTAGACTGTCAAACTCTTTGATGGAACAGCCTTCATACATACATATATGGTCCTATTTGCGTGCAAGAATTTTGAATGAGAATATGTTCGAATTTTTTAAAGTCAAAGATATAGCCAAAAGTATAAATATACAAAAACTGTGGTGGCTTAGACATTTCGTACGTATAGATGATGTGGACAACGAAAGCAAGGTCGCCCAAGGTAAGCCCCGGTACGAAAAATAATTGGTAAATGCTTAATTTGTTCGGAAATTAGCGACAAGAAAGATAATGAGAAGAAAAAAAGAACCACAAAAAGTAAGGAATTGGAATTAGTGTGCCCTTGAAAACCATATTGAGTTTATTATACTATTCAAGTGTGCGGGGCGTGCATTTTCAAGATTCCGCAAGGAATCGCGAAATAAGTCTTTCCCTTATTCCCCAGCTTTGTTAAGTCTGCGAAACTACTAGCCCCGTTCACTGTCATCTTATGCGACAGGTAATAAGCATTGATTTCTCTACTGTCATTTTACAGCGAATCCCTGCTTTTGAGACTATGGAACGACAAAGATCTGGTGTTATATAAGATCCCAATACGCACTTTGCACGGTTTGCTGGTTGTAGTTATCTAAAAAAAAAAAAATACTCCCTATCAAACTAAAAATCTGCAAGGAGTTAAATTTTTGGTTAGTGGATTACTTTAGCCCCTGTTTTTTCTGACTGAGTTGTAATCTTGAGAAGAACAGGAAAAAGCCACAACTTATTGTTGTTCAAATGTTATTTTGGTTTTCAAAGAGTTTAGCTGCAAGAGTAAGTACAACACAAGAGAAGTAGGATATTGTTTCAAAATTCTTGTAAATAATACATATCTATCTAATACTACCGATTTTCAAATTCCATCACGGCAAAGTGGATGCAACGAAATGCTTGATGTTGAAGGATGGTCCAAATCGAGGAAAAGGAAACGGGTAATCAACCTATCTAGTGTAGTAAAGTTTTCATTGGTCTAAGCTGGTGTGTGCCTTACAGTCTAATGGATTGACTTTAAAATGTAATCATGACCACCGTCAGCTTTTCCCTAAAAAGGTGGATATTGCGCTGTGTATCGCATACTGTGCTCTATAATAATTACACACCCTCACAGCTAAATACATATTTACTCATTTGAAATTTAAAAGACAATTTTGTTTTCTCACCTGAATTCGATTGTATCATCCTGCTCGCATAACTCATTTAACATCCAAAAGCCTAAGGACTCTGTGTGCACTTCGTTCGCCATTTTATTGCGACTATCCCTGGCGTGTCCGCTCCCGACACCAGCACCGCTACCTCCACGGCTCTCATTGCTATTCCCACTACTCGTTGTTTCCTGCTGCTCATTTTGTTGTTCGCTATTAGCACTGCCGTGCCATTTATTCTCTGGACACATTTTTCTAGCATTTCGACTACTATTATTTTGCGACCGTCGATGGTTAGCTTTATCCCAGCTCTGTTGCAACCATTTGGTAGCAAAAACTTGCTGCTGCTGCTGTTGAAAGTGGCCATGGCCGCTGCCTATGGCTTCGTAATCATGGCCGAAAGCGAAATTATCCTCATCCGATGCTGATGTAGCCGAATCGAAATCGTTTTTTTCCGCTTCGGATTCACGGCTGCCATCATCATCATCAACGCCATCACGGCGGCTGCCGTCATTGCGCTGAAGTGAACTGAACCATGAAATTGGCAACTTGTTGCTCGCTGAATGGTGATCAACAAAACTGCCACGTTCGCGGCCGCTTAATGTCGATAGTGTTTCTACAAAAAATTCCCCCGTGTAATGTAACTTGTTACCGTTGCTGCTGCTTCTGTTGCTGCCATTGCCACTGCCGCTCCTATTGTCATACCCTTCGCCGGCTGTGTTGTCCCTGACGTCTTCCTGGCTATTCACTTTCGCTTTTGTACTCGCATCCTCTGTAGTGACTTCTGCGTACGAATAGTCGTCTAATGGCTGCGTTAGTGTCGCATCAGCTCTTGTCAACCGACTAGCAGCCTTGGGCGTTGATGGCTTGGTGGCGTATGTCATCAGCCGCACTAAAACGAAGAGAAAACACATTTTTGTATTTGCTATTATGTTTAATTAGCATTAAAAAATTATGTTAAAGCTATGACGCTAGTTAAAGATAACGCTTTGAAACATGGAAAATTATGACTACCGTAAAATATGGTAAATAAGAACATTTTAGATTTCCTTAAATGAAATAAACAAACGTACTGATGTAGTAAGGAAAAGCTATGGAATTAATCCAGTAGCGAAAATGGTCACCGGTGACATCGTCACTAATGAAGATTTAGTGACATCGTCGCACTTGCTATGAATCCTAAACGACATATAGCTGACAATGACACTGGTGACAATGTCATGCAGCTGTACTCCTATCAAAGACTTATAACAGACACTGTCTTGCAACGGTCACTTATGGAAAGTCTATTGCAGGACATTGTCGTTTGAATGTCATTAATGATCACTGCATGACCAAGTCATGCAGATGACATAAACGACGAAATTACCATTTATATGAAAAAGTCATGAACGACTTCTATACAAACGGAGCCGAAAGTCATTTAAGACGTAACTTTTTTGTACAAGACTCTTAAGTGACTAATGCATGACATTCGCTACGGGGAAGTATCTAGCCTTACAAACAGGTTCACATAAAAAGTTGTATGTAACGGTCATTGGCCAGGCGAAAAATTTGCTGGTTCGGGGTCCCGTTTCGGTTTAAGGGTTCGGAAAAAAAAAATAACGCGCAAGTTTAAGTGTGAAGGCTCTGTCAAATGAGATGGGTAGCCTTTACATTTGATATTGCCACATGGTAAACAAACATGGTATGTATTAACATATTTAGCAAAAAGAAAAAATCAGGTAAATTTATCTATTGAAAATCGGTTGAACGAAAACCCAACGACTTTGCAAAAAGGTTTAAAGGTTCGTTTAAAGCTTTATGCAAAGTGGTTGGGTTTTCGTTTCGGTTATTGGTTCAGTTAATAAATAGAAAAAAGCTGGTTTCCGGTTCAAAACCGGTTCACGACCCTGGTTAAACTTATCTTATTCTATCGGAAACTCCAACCACATTTCAAACCCACTACAATCCGCTTTCGAAGAAGTAGTCAGTCTTCAGCGAGCCCTTAAAAATAATTGGTCCAAGATCGACCACTGCGCCAACAATATGGGATCTATGTAAGAGGCGAAAGACTGAAATATGTATTCGAGTAAGATAGGAAAGTTGGAAAGCTGGCCGACAGGGCAAATGCACAGAAAGTTGCACGAATTACCGAAGGTTTCAATGCCAGTTCGAACTCATGTAAGAACGACCATGGGGACCTAGTGACCGGCCTACGGAAAATGCTTAAATTATGCAAGGAACGAAAAACTTTCCACCCCGTTGAATGGTAACAGAACTGAAACCACTGCAGTCTCCAGTCGGTGATGCGGAATAGTACGAATAGTAATTTTGTGGATGAGAAACAACAAAGCTGCTGGCGCTGATAGCCTGCCAGCTGAACTGTTCAAGCATGGTGACGGGAAGTTGATAAGGTGCATGCATCAACGCTTTTGCAGAATATGGTCGGATGAATGCATGCCCGATGATTGGAAATTAAGTATGTTCTTCCCAATCCACTAGAAAGCATCGGCTATAAGGCCTTATGGAGCATATTTTGTAAAGCCGCAAGGCCTTTGCCAACGAAGTAATTGGACCTTATCACTAGGTATTCATCATACGCCAAATCTTGGAAAAGGCCCGTGAGAATATCTCCGTCTATTGTCATTTCAAAGCTGCATTCAGCAGCACGAAAAGAAGTTGTCTCTATGCCGCGGTGCCTGAATTTGTTACTCGCGAAACTAATACGGTTGTGAAAATGACGTTGAGAATAGGGAAGCACCTCTCCATGCCGTTTGATAACATATGAGTTTTCAGGCGGCCCGAATCTCATTCGTGCGATTTCTTTAATATGATGTTGGATAAGATAATAAGAGCCGCATAACTGACCCGCTCAGGCACAGTACTTAATAGGAGCATACAATTGCTGGCGTATGCCTATAACATCGACATTACCGGTAGAAACAAGGGCTACGTCTGTTCTGACTTCTCGGGATTAGATATAGAAGTAAAGCGAATGGATCTGGAGGTGAACGAGGAGAATCGTCGTGGCGGCAAGTGCTACTTTTGACAAAGTGAGCAAATTTTCATTAAAGTCCTCCCTCGTCGTACAAAAACTACACTCTGTAAGTCACTCACCATACCCGTGCTGGTATATGCGTACGTAAACAAACAGAGCGTAGAATGCATACACATACGATCTTTCCGCGTTTTTTTTCCTACTTTAAACTTGGTTAAACGCGTGCGAATTTCGCGTCCGTTACCTGGGATTTGCCCCATATGTAGATAAGTATGTATGCCTTTAATATTGACGTATGTAGTTTAGCAACAGTAGCAGCATATTGAATAATAAATTAAGAATAAAGTACCTCTACGTACATACAAATGCAAGGAATGTACATACATACATATGCACGTATGCACCTGAAATTCACAAACACCATAAGTGCATAACTGTGTAATTGCATTGTGGAAATGAGTGAACTGCTGCCAACTTGGCTGTCATCTTGAAAATATCAAATCCCAATTCACTATGCCCATTCAAGTTGGTAGATAGTGACTGCTTGTTGCATTTGCCAAAGAGAGATGGGCACATACATACATAAATATGTACATCAGGGTGGTCCTTAAAAAATCAACATCTACAGGGTGGCAAGGAATAACTGTTACCCAGGTGTTTTTTAAAAATAAAAGGGTTCTTTAAAAGGATTAAAATTTTAACACTAGTTAATAAAACTAAAGCAAAGTCTGTGGAAAATTATTAATAAAATACTTTCTTCGAAAAATCTATAAAGGACCCTTCTACTAAAAAAAAACTGTGTAACAGCTATTTGTTGGCACGATAAAAAGTTTGTATATGTACTTTGTTCTACTCGCAAATTTAAGTCATCGATGAAAATTTCAAGATTTTAAAGTAATTTTTAGGGGTCGCTACCAGGGTTTGAAAAAAATGATAACTTGTCATATTATTGAAAACTGTGTTCAGATAAATTCATAGACATCGCCAAATTGATTCAGCATGCAATATTAAACTCCAAAGGCTGTCACTTGTTAAAGTTTTTTTGGAAAAGTGCAGCATTTTTTTAATTTTTTCTAAGTTCTATAACATTGGTTTACAAATAATTGTCTTAAAAACTCAATAAACTCATTCATAGGGGAGAGTTACTATTCAATTCTTGAGCTCAAACGCATTTTTTACATGTTTTCTTTGCCTAAACAGACAAGTCAACAATTACCACTCAAACGACATACCAATGATTTTTTATCGTAAACTCGCTGAGTTATAGCTAAAGTATATACATAAATTTTTATGGACGTCTTTAGTTTGTTCGTAGAACAAAGAATAATAAGTTTTTATGTTTATATTTTAAACACCACCCTAATGCACACACATTTGTACATTTATACCTAAATATTGGAAAATTTGTAATGGAAATGAGTTTATATTAGGCCAAAATTTTTTAGTTTATTACAGCATTAACTATAGAGAAAGGTCTTTAAAAATTAACTTTTACTTGCAGTTTCCTTTTTTATATTTTACCAGGTTCCCCTTATTTCCTTTCGTTTTTTCTTTCTTTTAATATATTTTATTTCATTTCATTTCATTTCATTTCATTTCATTTTATTTTATTTTATATTATTTTATTTTATTTTATATTATTTTATTTTATTTTATATTATTTTATTTTATTTTATTTTATTTTATTTTATTTTATTTTATTTTCCTTTCTTATCTTGTCAGTTTTATGGAACACCCTAATGTAAATAATGTATGTAAATACATGGCAAGTAGTGAGGAAAACACAAAATGAAAACGAAAATGTCACATTGAGTTCGACATCGATTACATTGATGACAACAAGTGGCAGTAATATTTTGGTATGTATACATGGTATGTATGCCCTTTTATAGCGAATAGGGGGACCATCAATGCGTTTGTGTGTGTGTGTGTGTTGCCTATACCACCAGCTGGTTTGTGTCAATGTGCTGCTTTAGACAATTGTGTTCAACAAATCAGTTATTGCCACAGGCGAATTCACAACACTTGATATGAATGTGAACAACTTTAATGAGCTGCTACTCAACTATTTTCGAGCAGATTTAGGCTGATGACTGCCATTTTTCCTTAAACGAGGATATGCATATCAAGTATCTTAAGTGGTCCCGAAATTTAAGGGTTAAGGGTTACTACGCATTCCGACTATCTTTGAAGCTGAGTATATGTTGTGTGTGTCCGGCTATATATAGCGACTGGCTATTCGGTTATTTATCATTCAGTCGCTGGAGAGAAGGATTGTGCAGCTGGTGATCTGCAGCTAGGTGGATACACTGTTGCACATTAGAATTGCTGAAACCGATGACGTAGGGGACAACGTGGTACACCTCCACTTCTGTGGAGCCTAGTTATGGATGAACTTCTTCAGCTTCTGTCTGACAATGTTATGCTAGGCTATTCCGACGACATAGTCATAATTGCCGGAGAGAAGATTGAGAGCACCCTCCGTGGAATTATTCAAAGAGGCTTAAGATTAACAATTGAATGGTGTACCAATTTAGGGCTAGCATTAATTGAGCGCCTCTGTATAACCATAGGCAGGAAGCCAAAAGAATTTTGCTTAGTTTTGGTAAAGAGCGATTTGAAAGAGGTATGGTCATATCCACTAGGAACATGGCAACGCAGGGTCCCGAACTGGTACAAAGACATCTCGAAAGGCCTAGATGTAATAGGTGCTGGAATCTTTCGACCCACGACTAGGAGACTTATAATTCTTATCTTATGAAATCAAAGCGTCTTTGGTCCTTAGTAGGCACAATAATATCCGATTAGCTGGGGTACCTGGCCATCACTCCAGCGGGACCCGAGGCTTCTTGGGAGTGGGTTCCAATACTATAAAGGAGGAGTTTAGGAGGGAGAGAAACACTTTGGGGGATTTAACGTGGCGTAGTTCGGTATGCGTAAGGCAAGAGTTCTACTGGGAGCATTGCAAAGATTAATTAACCTCCCAAAGAAGAAGCTGACAATACTAACAGGTTTTCCAACAATGTGCTGCAGACAACGAAGACATCTGTATAAGCTGGGGATTGACCTTTGCCTGTTCTGCGACTCTACTTGCGAAACACCACACCATATACTCATCAAGTGTCATGCAGTCTGCAGAAGAAGTGTGTGAGGTGTAGGCACATTCAGTCCCAATCCTCGAAAGCGCTCTTGAACTTTCTGGGGGATCTAAGTTTAGAGGAGGTACTGCGAAGTGAAGAAAGCACAATAGATCACTTTTACTTAATATTCGGAAATCAGTGGCAATGGGAACAAGTGAGTTTCTTGTGCTGATTAATTATTATTTTGTGCATAAACAACTTTAACCGAAACCGAAGATTAAAAAGTACTTTACTGAACGTTCAGTAACTCAAAAGAGCTCGTCGTGCCAAGTGTGTGGGTGGCTGAGGCTGTAGGCATCTTAATTAATCGGTTACATCACATTTTGCATGATTATTTGGATATGAGAAAGATTTCCGCGCGATGGGTTCCGCGATTGCTTACACTCGACCATCACCCAACCGTGCGACCACTTCAAAGGAGTGTTTGCGCAGTTTCGTTACCGTTGATGGAACATGGATGCATCACACCACACTAAAGGCTAAGGAACAATCAAAAAAGCAGCACGGTCATGACCACAGTTATTTCGGAAAACGATCACCGTGCCAGTAATATTTCCACTCACAGCTTTTGTACAAATTCGACATTGATTTAAAGCAGAAACGACCGCTCTTGGCGAAGAAAAAATTATTGTCTTATTAAGACAATGCACAGGTACAAACATGTGTAGTCAGTCAGTCACCTTGGCAAAAATCCATAAATTCGGCTACGAAATGTTACTCCATCCAAAAATTATTCTCATTGTCCTCGTATTTTGAGATGTACTTACCCTGATACATCAAACCACAATTGATGCCCGCCGCAGACGTTTCGAAGACATTATGCTCCAGCTGCAAATCTATAAACAAATGATGTCCCATCTGTCCGCCGTTTCGCGTGCGCGCATCGAAAACGTTCTCACCATTCGCCGCCGTTTGCTCTTCTTCATCAACGTCTACTACATCGTTGAGGAAATCACTAAAACCATCGTGACAGGATCTCGCATTACTAATAGTGTTCGTTTTCGCCTCCTGCACAATTAACGCTGCCGCAGCTGCTGTGCCTGTAACAGATTTTTTTATGATTTCACTCGCTGGTTCCGGCAACTTCTGTACCAGCCGCGCTTCTGCCATCACGTGTGCCACATTATCGTATGTGTAATCATTGGCGACGACGTGGTCAGCTGCTGTTGTCGTGTCGGCTAATTTGTTTAATTTGATGTTAATCTCATTGGTGTTGGTTAACTCTGGTATACCGGAAACTAATTGTTGTTCGTTGTTGTTGTTGCTGTTTTTACCCACCCCAACATCTTTATTATTATTGTTACTGTTATTACCGTAATTGCGGCCTGTCGTTTGTGCCAGCGTGCGCTCGCCATTTTTGTCTTGTCTGTGATGCTGGCTTTGCGCCGCCGTTGTTGTAGTCCCAGTGCCGAGGGCGGTCGCTGTGTCGATGGTTACGGGAGCAGTAGTGGCAGCATATTTTGCGGTGCGTTCGTTTAGCGCCACGGGCGGCCCTGCAGCGAGACTTAGTTGAGCGGGAGGCGGTCCTGGTGAACGGCCTGGCGCTGGGTCACTGTTCATGTGGCCGACCGTCTGGATGGTGAATAGTCCGAAAAATAAGAGGCATATAACTAATTTCGTCATTATAACTACTACAGCTACAGCGTATTGCTCTCCTCTGTGGTTGCTCTGGCTCTGACTGTGGTTGTGGCTGAGACGGTCGTTGTCGTCGCTGTTTGTGTTTCTTTTGTTTTTGCTGCTGAGGTTGCTTTTGGTGCAGTTGGTTGTGGTAGTATTGTGATTGCGTTTGTAGCAGTCGGTATGGTTGTTGTTGTTCTTCCTGCTGTGGTGGTCGACGTCTCTTCAATTGGATTTCCATAGACGTTGGTTGCGCTTTTGCGGTTTCCAAAGGAAGTTGTTGCTATTTAGCTCGTTGTTGTTGTTGCTGTTGTTTGCAGGTAACGGCAATTAGTAAATTTGGAGCTAATTACCTCTGCTCTTCTGTTTCCTATCCGCTCTTTATTAAATTACACCTTCTCCTAATTATTGTAAGGCTTCGCTTGCAATGGTTTTTTAGATTTTTATGGTTGCCTTACCATTATCATCACTTTAAACGCGTTCGATGCTTTTGCCGGCAAACAGTTATTTTGTTGTTACTTTCGCCGATTCTGAACCCCATTTGAAGGCATCATATTTTTGGAAGTACTTATTGGTTTTAAGTGATAGTCATCAGTAATATCTGTAATGAAAAAAATTAAAAGTAAGTAAATGAGCTTTACGAAAATACAAAGAAATATTTTTACTATCGATAACAAGGTGTAATTTTTGTGGTTTTTTCAAAATTGTATTTTATATTCAAAACTAGGCTCATTTGAAAGCAGAACCTTCTGCTAGTATTCTGGGCGTTTTTACTTATTTTGTATAACTTTCTGTTACGAGATACAAGGATTTATATGGAATGACCTCGAGAAAATTTCTCAAAATCAGATATATTTTGAAAATAGAGAATCACGACTCCCTTTTAGATATACACATATATATATATATATATATACATACATATATATATGCAACAGGGTGATCCCAAAATACAAAGCGCTCAAAGTTTTTAATTTTTTATGGGGAAAAAGCACTTTTGGTTGAAAATCAATATTTTTTGATCTGAAAACTCTGTTTCTCTTCAAGAGACTTCCAATAATTACATATACCCAATTAATTATTTAACCATTGTTTCATAGTAAATATATTTTATAGGTCCGCCAAAACCCCCAGAAAAACAATGTTTTCCGATCGAAAAATATTGATTTTAAAGAATTCTATACCATTTCCACGAAAAGTTGTTTTTTCCCATGTAAAATACATGGAAATCTTTGAGCGCTTTGAGTGACCTATAAAATTTTTTTTTAATTCAAAATAAAAAAATGGGGGTATTTTTTCGATATAACTAGAACAATCCGAGGGGGTGAGAGCATTACAATTTCGACTTTACTTATTTTGGACCACCCTAATAAGTAGGTCGATTTAGGATTAGGTGTTCGTTTCATAAACATATTAAAAGCAAATTGTAAATCCGCATGGGCCAAGAAAATGTAACAAACACTGTGGGTAATATCGAGCAAAATAAAAAAAGTCCATTTTAAACAAATTGAGTTTTAGGGCACTTCCAGAGCACCATGCCGACCAATAAAAATGCTTTTATTATAAAATGCTTTATACATCAAGACAGGGTATGAACTTTAAAAACCCCCATGGCCCAGAAATCTTACTAAGGATTACTTCCGGCACTGCTTAAAAATGTGTAAACCAAATTTTCGAACATAGCCTTTTTCTGTTAGGTTTACGTTCTGTCAAGTAATGTTGAAAACAATTTTATTGATGTTTTTGACCATTCAATAAAATGCGAATGTGCAGCGAAATGCAAAATCTACCATATGAAGTGCATGGTTGGGTTGCCCCCTTCTTTAAATACTGTACTTAATAAAAAAAAAATTGTTTGAATACGCAATTACAATAACTTCAACGTAAGACGTTTTTCTGTTCCAAAAAAAAAAATTTCGGAGCAAAAGTTGTTAGTGAATAGATAGTATTTTGCCGAAATCTTTAATAAAATAAATTTTTTTCTAACTTTGTTCTGGAAGATTTTTCGATTCAAAAACGGCGCCGAACAAATGTTGTTAGGGAAAATTCTTGATTTTGTTAACTTTGGTCCTAAACGGCCACGTCCATTCCTATGGGTTTGGCGCCTTAGTTCCCTAACAAACTAAACGGGATGGGTATTCCACCAGAATCCGCAATATTCCTTTTCGATAGGCCTGATAGTTTCTGAGAAATTAACTAATCATCCCAGTTTTTTGTTTGATGAAAAAATTAAAAAAAATCAAACTTCAACAGAATGGGAATCTCATAACAATTCTGTAGAGGAATTTGATAGTGGTATCCATCAATCAAGTGATTTGTTTTAAATAAAAAAAAACAATTGCATATTCTCTTTGATATACATTTAAACAACATTTTATTGCAGCATTTTGTTCAAACTCCACCACGTTCTTGCTATGGTTACTGGTAACCAATGTGTAAAAGCATTTCAACCCTTTTTCTAGAGTCACAAGTTTTTTTAAAATTCTTAAAGTATTTTTACGTATAAATATAATCTCCTTCAAAGCTCGTTTTTTAATCACACCGTTTACACAGGCATATCTTAGATTATTAGCTGTCAAATTTGCTGCGCTTGTTATTCTCACATCTCCAGAAAAATTAAGTTCCTTCTATGTGCCGCCGTGACCACTTTTTTCTGCTATATTAAGCAATTTAAATCTTTTTTTTTCTATTTTTNCCGCCGTGACCACTTTTTTCTGCTATATTAAGCAATTTAAATCTTTTTTTCTATTTTGTTTTTACTTTTTCATTTGGCATTTCTCCTCTTCTTCGCAAAAATAATCGATAAATCTAGGTGGGACACTGAAAAGTTATCGGTTTAATCTGAGATTTTTTACAATTACGAATTTTGTATGACTTACCTCTTGTTCTAATTACAGGTTAGGGAGTTAAGCTCGAAAATCAGGATAATCTATTTATATGTGAACCTAGCATTATCTCATGCCACGCGTATGATAGAGAATCAAAAATTGTTGACCTATTAGAATTTTTTTTGTTCTTTTTGGTGGAAATTATAATTTTTTGCTAAAACGATTTCTTTGCAAGAAAATAAAATTTTATTGCATTTTTAAAACAATGGTTTATTTCGATAGGTCATTTTCTAAGCTTTCCAATGATATATAATTTGTATGGGCGTGGCAAATGGACTACAAATTTTTCATCATAGAACGTACTCAGGTCCACCTTGCATTTATGTCGGCAATAACACAAGTTTACAGTTTTTAAGATATAGCCGAATTTCGGGTTTTTAAGATCCGAAAAATATGCACTTACTTAGTTTTTTTAGATATACATAGTTAGCCTTTGCTTCACATTTCGTGGATTAACATATAGGCTTATGCTTTTGACATCGACATCATCTGTCTCAACAAACGCTACATTGGTCGGCCTTTTTCAAGTTGGATATGCAACAAGCTGGCCAACAAGTGCTACCTGACTGAGTTGACTATTGAGAAGTAAATTACCAGAAGTGTTAACGAAGACAGCATCTAATCAGGCGGCCTTTGGAGTGTTCGAGAGAAAAATTCTGTGGAAAATGTATGACCTTTTCGCACTGTGTACCGCAGACGACGTAGAATTAAATTGCAGCGGCTCCGCTGGCTGGCCCATATCGCAAGAATACTTGATTGCTATTTAGAACTCTGCCAAAATGGTTATAACGACTATCAATCGAATAAACCAAGTACTATGGAATTAAATCTGTTGCCCAATTCGAATGCAATGGTTATGAACATCTCGTTAATTTTAGTGAACAAAAAAGTTGCTGGTTGCCTGTGATCTTAATGGAATAAAACCTACTTAACTAATTAATGGTAATTGAAATGTAGTTTCTCTTGGGATTGAATTTAATTAGTAGGCAGATAAGCATACTTGTACATACGCAAATATGTGTACATATGTATGTATATGACAAATATATGTGGGGGATATGTTGTGTGCATTATCAATCAAACTCCACCAAAAAATGTAAACAACACGCCGATATGTAACAAACTGTGTACAGATGGATATCTACGAAAGTTACTACATACAGTGCACAACTAAATTGATCAGTTAAACTAATAACTTTATAACTTAAAGATTTACATAGCTAGGTATTTATTAGACAACGATTTTATTAACCCAAAAAATAAATAGGTACATACGTAAATGCTTTAACGTGTGAGGCCGATACCTTTGATTGGAATACCTCTTAGTTTTTCCTGATAAAAATCAAAAACTGAACTGGTTTTCTATCCTGGTAAATTGAAAAGTGGATTTAAAACTTTTTTTTTTAACAAAATGTACCTACAATAAATATTTTGTATATTTTTTTACAATTTCACTTCCCTTAATTCGTAAGTCTTAAACGAAGATTTTAAATTAATGCTTTGCTAAATAAATCAATACTATTAAGTAATGTGAATTATTTATTAAAACCTTATCAAATGGTTAAGATACGAATTTTAGTAGATATATTTTATGAAAACTATTGTTATTCACTGTATAGATATAAACATATTTACCGCATGTTACCCTACAGAAAATCAACCTGGTTCAGAACTCCCGCCAAACTAGTTTGAAAAGAGAAAAGGGGAAAAATTGTTTTTAATTCGTTTTTGTTTTGTAACAGTTATTAACTGAAACAGGAGAATCCATTTTCTTCAAAATGGCTCCTTTTTATGCAATTCGCACTAAAAAATTTAATACAAACAAACAAAAATTCTAAAATCGGGCTTAACTGGTGTCTTGTAAATTGTATTAGCTTTCATAAAAGAGAAAGTGAATAATAAATTCCAGTCTTAAACAACTGTGTACTGCGATTTGAAGTCGCGACCAACGATGTTAGAGTCGGAGGTCTTTTCGTCGAGCCACTTTCGTCTTGTCCGCAGTGCACGGACTTTACCAATTTTTTAGCTGTATTTTATTTTCTACCATTTTTACGAACAAAGGCTAAAAATTTACCAAGATTCTACGTAAAGAAAGCAAAGAGATTTAAATGAGCGCAGTGTATATTTATATATTTAATCATAGAACATACCTAAAATAAAAATGAAAAGTTAACTCTGACCATGGGGAATTCAAAAGTGAAATGGCATCTCTATTAGGCTTGAATCGCAGGATCCGTGATCAAATCAAATTCGAATCGAAATTTCTTTTTGGGATTAAGTCATTTAGCAGCGAGTTCGCCCTTTTAATTTGAAATGTATTTGAAAAAAAAAACAGCTGGAATGCTATTTCATTTGGTTCGAATCGTGCCGTGATTCGGGCCCGGTTTAATGTATTCGTTTTTTGTTAAATGTGTTATTATTGAGACGTATTTGCCGCAACAAGAAGAGAGAGGCCGAAATACGTGATTGTGAAGAGCTTGAAATGCTGGCCGACGGGAGGAATGCCCGAAAATTTTACTAGAGAGTTAGGCGACTTACGGAAGGTTTAAAGACCGGGGCGCACTCCTGTAAGAACAATAATGGCGACCTAGTAACTGATGTCCAGAGCGTACTTAAATTATGGAGGGAACACTTTTCCGCCCTACTAAATGGTAGCAGCACGGAAAGTTGTGGAGAAGAAGAACCCGAGCCCGCAGTCGATGATGACGGAGTCG